CAGGACGAGGCGGGTGGGGCTTGTCTCTGCAGCCCCTTCACCCGAAAGCAGTTCAAGGGCCGACATGTTCAATCTACTTCTCAGAGTGGAAGGCTTAGGGCAGCTTTGAAAACCAACCTCGCAATGCCCACACCAGTTCAAGTCCTTCCTGGCTCTGCCCAGCCCTCTATCGTCTGCAGACCTCAGTCTGCCCTATTAAACTGCTGGCTCCCCACCCTGCCCTGTCCCTGGGCAGCTGGGCTCTGAGAAGCACCCAGAAGCATCCTGGGACAGGTGGTTCTGACGCTCACATGCTTAGCTGAACCTCTTCATTCTAGCCATGTTTATAACATAGCCTGTTACCTACTCACAGTCAGGCAAGAGATCCAGTGACCTGTCACCCCCAGGCCCCATTCCTGTCTCAGGGTAGGAGCCACAGTTCCTCCAGGGAGAAATGGTCAGACTCTCTGGGGTGCTTGTGCAGTTTTTTCAAGTGCATTCAACATGCACTATAAAATGATTTTTTCTCAAAGGGGTTAAAGAAAAGTCGATAGGATGCAATACCCCTCTACTCATCAGACAGACTGTAGTGAGGAGACAGAGCACAGGGCATGCTGGGGAGGATGTAATGCACCTAAAATTCCTGTGCTGCCTTGAGAGAGCACTGAGAACTAGAGGCCAGCCCGTGGCATGGAGATTAGGGCAGCTGGATCTTATAAAGGATGACATGGTTCAAGTCCCAGGCCCAGTGGACTGCAAAACGTGCCAGGCATGTGTGTGTGCGTGCCCCAAATCCTGAGAATGGAGAAGGGATTGCTTCGTAGTCATCCCTCCTGGGGGGGGTGCTTTCTCACTTTTCCTCTCTCCCCCTCTCTCTTACTCTCCCCTTTCAGGTGAGGGCTTGCAGGGCTCACTGTAAGATGTACTAGGAGCACGCCGCCCTGCACGACAGCCCCACGCTGCAAACCCCACGTGCCCATCAGTGGAGGAGGGACGAATCAACTCCGGGGCACTCACGCACTAGGACGTGGCACAGCTGCAGGGGCAACGAGGACAAAAGGCCTACAGCTGCACGTGACGACAGGTGTGCCACTGCTGCAGGAGCCCACATGGGTGGGGCCCGGAACAGGGGACCTCGTCCACGCTGTGAGAAGTCAGGAGAGTGGTCACCCAGGGTAGGAGCTTTTTGGGTGACAACCACTAGTTTTTAAATGATAGAGTGTATGTGTACCCCTAAGAGAGCCCAAGAGCAGGAGAGCACCCACAACAGTCTCATCACGCCGCTACCTCCTTTTCCCAGCCCTCCAGCGGGGCGCGCTGCTCAGGATCCTGGGTGCCCCAGTATCCAGTGTTTTCAAGCCAACCTGGGGATCTGAACCCATGGTTGTCCAGGGGGCTTCCAGCCTTGCTGGGCACTTGCAGTACTGCTGTGCCACAGCGCCTGAGCCAGCGGCGGTCACGTGTCTAGCGACGCAGGGGCTGACTAGGTGGGCATGCTCAGCTTGTCAACATTCATGGAGTTGTCCACACCTGTGTGTGTGATTTCCTGTATGTGAGGCAGTAAAAAGAAAAGGGAGGGGGGAGGAGAAAGGGAGGAAGAGGAAGAAGGGAGGAAGGAGAAGGAGGAAGCAGAAGGGGAAGAGGGAGAGGAAAGCAGCAGCAGCAGCAGCTCAGCCACCACGGCCCAGGTGCCCGTGCGCTCTCCCGGTCCTCTCCATCACAGGCCAGGCCTCTACCAGCTCGGAGTGCCTCCTGTGACCAAAGGTGGAGGCTCTTCAGGAACACTTCAAAACCCCAGGAAGGCAGCGACCTCACCTCAGAGCACGCCTACTTAAAGCCCCTCGCATTTCACAGCGCATCCAGGCCCCACTGTGCGGCACCTCGAGGCCTGGCCCTGTTCAGGCCTCCGTGGGTTAGCATGCACTGCCGGCACCAAGCCAGCAGTGGGAGGCCTCAGAACGCGGTGCTGGGAGCTGGGGTGATTTTCAGGCTCAGGGCTGAGGGCAGGAAGGCAGAAGCCCCTGGTCCCCATTCATAGATGAGGGGTGGAGGCCCAGAGAAGTCTCCACCTGCCCGCAGTGAGCAGCGGTGCCTGTGGAGCTGGTGGGAGCTGGAACATGGGGAGGCAGCGGCCCTGCTGGAAAGCGGCTTGGTCAGGACAGGCACCTCTGGGAAGGAGCCATGGCCCGAAAGCCAGTGCTGAGGCCCAGCCTGCCTGTAGCCAGGGTCCCCACGTGCTCATCAGGGGCTGTGAAGATCATGAACGTTGCAGGGCCGCTCTTGGGGCCAACACCCCACAAGACCCCAACAAGGCCTCAGGGTGAGGATGTGCTCAGCCAGGAAACGCTTCCGCAGGTCTGCAGTGCTGTAGGGGCTAAAGAAAGCCATCTCTGCACAAGGGGTGCAGGTAGGGCCCCCACTTTAGTGAGAAGAGGCCACTGTTTGTTTTCCTGACACTGATTCCTTGGGGGTGTTGAGGCAAGAGAGCAGGCCCGGAAGGAAGACTGTGGGGGCCAAGGTGCGGGCGGGGAGGACGGGGGAGGCGGAGTGCATGTACGTGTGAGAGAGGGGGTGACAGGGGGGTGCTGGGTGGGCAGGGTGAAGGGAGAAACAACCCCGGGAAGCAGGGGAGAGGGCCTGCTGACACCACACTCATCGTCTTCCTCAGAGCTTCAGGGAGCCCCATCCGTCCCCTCGTTTAAAACAGTGCTTGCTAGAGGCCTGCAGGTGACATAGTGGTTAAGGCGCTGGACTCCCACATAGCGAACTGAGGTTCCAGACCCAGACCCAGTGGCTTGAAAACCATGCTGGATGCATTTGCATGCATGCCCAAAATCCTAAGAGGAGAATGGAAAAGGGATTGTGGTGTGGCCATCCTTTCTGGGGGTGCTTTCTCACTTTCCTTCTTACTGTCTCTCTGGCAAGCAGACATGCCTTATGGAAAAAAAACTAAAAACGAACAAACAAACAAAAACAGTGCTTGCTGAACACCCAGTCTGCACATTCAACCACCAGACCACGGAGACCCCATGTCCTGGGTTCAAGGAACTGAGAATGAGCAGACACCAGAAAAGTGAGCAAAACTGTGCACGAAGGCCACAGAAGAGGGTGATGAAAGAGAATGGTGTGCACTGACAACGGTGGCCGGCAGGCCTCAGGGGCCCGTGTGAGGAGGCAGTGCCTCTCCAGAGTGGGATGGATCCAGGCAGAGGAGATGAGGGCCAAGGAAGCACAGAGGTGTCAGGGTCTCGGCTCTGCCTCTCCCTCCTCTCCAGCCTCGTGTTCCACCCTGCCTGGAGGGCCCCTGGCTCATGTGCCCACACTTCCCCCTGCCTTCTCGGCACCACTCCTGCCTGGCTGCCCCCTCTACAAGCCCAGCCCTGGAGGGCTCTCCCTTCTCCGTGTCCAACCTTGGCCACTAATCCCCACGTTAGAAACACCGGTTGGCTTTCGTGCCTTCCCACCCTCTCACCAGGTGCTCTAAGATCCAGGTCTATGGGGCCCAGCAAGAGGCACGGTGGTTAAGGTGCGGGATTCCCGCACGGCTGAACGTGGCTTGAGTCCTGGACCAGGCAGCTCAAAATCATGCTGGGCGTGTGTGCGTGAATACCCACAATCTGAAGGAGAAAGGAGGAGAAGGGATTGCAGTGTGGCCATTCCCCCGAGGGTGATTCTTCACTTTCTCTCTCTCTGTGACTCTCTGGTGGGCACATGAGCCCCATGGCAAAAACCTAAAACAATCCCAGGTCCATGCACACCCAGTGCAGAAACCTTCAACGGCTTCCCACTGCCTACGGGACCAAGCACTACTCAGCACTGTGGCGCCCAAGGCCCTGCCATCTTTCCAGCCCATCTCCTGTGCGTTCCCCTTGCCAAGTGTCTGGCTCCAGACAGCCTTCACTGTACTCTGGAGAACAGAGTGTAATGAAGGATGTGATGTTTTTTTTTTTTGGAGAGATTTTCACTGTAGGGCGCGTGCGCTCGCCAGACAGACAGAGAGAGACATAGAGACAGAAAGCGAGAAATCACCCCCCAGGGGGGATGGTCATGCCGCAATCCCTTCTCCTCCATTCTCCTCTCGGGATCTTGGGCACGCACGCACACGCGCCCGGTGTGAGTTTTAAGCCACCGGGTCCGGGACACGAACTGCGGTCGACTACGTGGGAGTCCAGCGACATAGCCATTACGCTAACTGCTGGTTCCCATGGATGTGATATTTTTTGAAACATGTCTGCAAATGCTTTGTCCTTCCTCTCTTCAAGAGGTGGAGTTTAATTCCTCTGCTTGAGACTGGCGCTGGCAACTCCCTCCTAACAAGGGAGCACGGTGGGGAAGCTGGTGGCAAGGACCGGCCATGTGCGCGAGCCTTCCTGGAGGCGGGGCCTGCGGCCGGGGTGAGCCATCGGATGACAGCTGCCTGATGAGCCCCTGGGCCAGAGCTGCTGGGCTAAGCTACTCTGAATTCCTGGCCCCCAGAAACCACGGCATAACAAACATTTGTTGTTTTTCCACTGCTGAGTTTTGGGGTGACTTGTGTTAGCATTATCAGGAATGACCAACCCCAAATGCTTCCGGCACCGGCACGTGTCCTCTGCTTGGGACAGGGCTGGCCTGTGGTCTTTCCGCCAAGTTCCTCATCGCTCCTCAGGGTCGAACAGAAATGCCACCTCAATGACACATCCCTAACACCGTTCTGATCCCCTCAGCCTCAGCCCACCCCGCTCTACCCCCCCAGGGGGCACCTGCTCCGCAATCCTGCCACCCTGCACCTGGCTCCAACACAGCCCTCCACATGACCTCAGAGGCCCGTTCAGGCACCTTCGTGTGCCCCCACGAACACCCAGAAAGCTTCATGGAGGCTCTGTCAACTGGCTGGAGAGCCATCAGGGCCTAATTCCAATGAAAACTGGAAAAATCAGTATTTTACAGTAAGTATTTCAATACAGAAGTTCCCATTTTTTCTCTCAGGGGTAGAGGCCCTGTCTCACTCCCAACGGACCGGACCAGGGATGCCGACCCACCTGGATCAGCGCCAGCACTTTGTCCTGCACGATGGTGGGAGGGTTGTTTTTGGGAGCGATGATCTTGACCAGGACGCTGTCAATGAAATCCCGGTTGGCCACGAGGACATGGAAGCGGTGGCCGCAGTTCTTCACGCACGTCTCCAGCACCTGATGTGGGGAGAGAAGGCAACAGGTCAGGGCCCGGGAGTGGGAGGAAGACCCCGAGGGCTGTGGAGGGCAGTTGACCTCCTGTCCGCTCCTCGCTCCCGCACCCTGATCATCTTTCAGACACTGCTCCTCCAGGGCCAGGCCTCCATGGCACCCGCATTCCCACACTCCAATTCAGTCCTTCCTCAGGGATGACAGCAGCCCCTCGCTGGCTGAAGTCCCCTGTCTCTGCACAATAATCAGGCAATTAGTTGGTAATTGAGGTACCAGTTTTGCATGAGAAGGATGCTGGTGTTTATGGGATCAAAATGACTGAGGGTCCCTGAAAATTAGCATTTTAACTCCTCCCTCTGGGCCTCTGGGTGTGAGGCATTAGCCAATGGGACACGGGCTCTGTCACAGAGGAGGCTGCTGTGACAACCTGAATTGCCTGGTGAGTTACTGGCCCTTGTATGTGAGGAGACACGCACACACACACGCACACATGCACACACACGCACACGCACATACATGCACACACACGCACACACACGCACGCGCACACAGCTGGCTTCTGAAACTCAAATGAGCAGTGACAAAGGGTGCTCCACCCTTGGCAAACAGCTTGTGGCCTCAGGTGCGGCCGGCTCTACGGCTCGCGTTCGATTGAGACCCGGCACATTCCCCCCTGGGAAAGCACAGGCCTTAGCTGTTCCGGAAGGCGTGGGGGACTGGTGCTGGCCGAGCGAGAAGCCTGGGCTTGACTGTCAGCTCTGCCTCTTTCTCCATGGATGACTCAGGACAAGGCTCTCAGGCCTCAGTGGACAGTGGGGACGAGGGGTCCTCCCTTACAGGACTGTTGGCAAGACTGGGGAAGATCAGATCAACTAAATAAAGCACCTGGCAAAGGGCCCTGTGGAGGGCAGGTGACCGACAGGTGGCGCTGTGCTGTTAGCGCTGGAAGGCTGCTGTGCACACGTGAGCGGAGGGATGGCCTCTTACTCCCTCACGCAGCAGGTGAGAGGCCTTTGAATTCAGGGGTATTCACTGGGAGGGCCTCTCTCACTAAGCCCGCCCCGGGCCTTCCCACGCCACTGCTCCCAGCACCTCAGCCAGCCAGCTGGGGAACGCCTCCTTGGAAGGACGCCACCAGCAACAGGGAACTTTCTCACTGCCTTGGTTATTCTTATTTGCCCAAACTGCCATCACCCATGGCTAACTTGAGCCAGTTGTACAACTGGGCTTCACCTCGGCATGGCACAGCCACAGGAGAGGCTCATCGTGGTAACAGGGACTGCATGCCCACTCCTGCAGGGGCTGGGAGAGAGCCTTCATATAATACGTACTAACACATACTTCCTTCTTCTTCTTTGTTTCTTTCTTTTTTTTTTTTTTAAGGAGGATTTTTGCTATAGGATGCGTGTGCTCACTGGAGAGAGAGAGAGATAAAGCAAGAAATCCCCCCCTGGGTGGATGGCCACGCTGGAATCCTTCTCCTCCATTTTCCTCTTAGGATTTTGGGCATGTACGCACATGCGCCCAGTGTGAGTTTTTAAGCTGCCGGGTGGAACCATGGTCAACTATGTGGGAGTCCAGTGAAGTAACTAACCATCACGCCACCTGCTGGTCCCTTTGTACTTTTACTTGGTTCTCATGACCAATTACTCCTCTTTAAGAGGATCTTACTACCCCATTGCCCCATTGCTTAGAGTAAGCAACTCAGAAAGGTGGACAGACTGGTCCAGGGACAAACTGCCGGCCGGTACCGAAGCAGGAGGGAACGCCAGCTGGCCTTCTCCGGAGCCTGGGCTCCTTGTCTGCCCCAGGCGGGACCCTGGCCACCCTGCCACCCCCTGAAGCTCTCCTTCATGGAGCCCTATTAGCTGAGTCCTTCGGACACCAGGCAACACGTGCACGATGTCTCCTCCCCACTCGGTCTCTCAAATGCCTGTAAGGTGGGGATGGCAGTGACGAGGAGGCTGAGGCCCAGCGATGCCATGAAGCTTATCCCAGGAGGCCTGAGCAGGCCCTCCCCAGCCAGAATTGCTCCTCTCCACACCGCTGCCCACGCAAGGAACAGGCAGGGTTCTGCCCACTAGCCTAGGCTCCGAGGCGGCCCGCTCTCAGGTTCTCTGAGCAACCGTAGTTTTACTTAGACAGAGAAGCATTTCCCTTTCTTAGCCTTTGTGCCTGATTTGAGGGAACCACAAAGTAGCCAGCATTCACTCTCTCTGTGACCCGCACGGGGCTACCGAGATGAACCCAAGGGACTGTCCTGTCCTAAGGAGCTATAGCCGCCCTTCTCTCTAGGAGTCTCTAAACCTGTTCCCAACTCAGGCGGTGGGCCACTGGGTCTGAGTCAGGGGCAGGGGCCGAAGTCTGCTTTATTCCATGAGAAGCACATGGCAGAGGCAGGGCAGAAGGCTCGGGAAAGAAGGTTGGTGTGGCGGGGAACAACTGGGAAGAGAGGAGCCAGGCTGAGGAGGTTCTGCCCCTACTCTCGGGGTGCCAGCAGGCGCGACACACCAGTCACCTCTAGGGGGCACATCCAATTTCTTTTTTTGGAGAGGTTTTTGCTATAGGGCGCGTGCGCTCGCCAGACAGACAGAGAGACAGAAAGCGAGAAATCACCCCCCGGGGGGGATGGCCACACCGCAGTCCCTTCTCCTCCATTCTCCTCTTGGGATCTTGGGCACGCATGCACACGCGTCTGGTGTGAGTTTAAGCCACTGGGTCCGGGACTCGAACCGCAGTCGACTACATGGGAGTCCAGCAACATAGCCATTATGCTAACTGCTGGTCCCAAGGGGGCACATCCTTCTGCAGTCCTGGAAGCAGACCTCAGGGTCAGGGCATCCCAACCTGGCCTTGCAAATGCCCTGAACAGAGCTGCACATGCCATTGAGCAGGAGATGCAGGAAGTCCTCCAGGCCTGGGCTGGCAAGGGCCACTTCAGGTCACCTTGTCAAAAACTTCCCTAGCATATCTGTCACTACGGGCTGTAGGCATGAAACACACAACGGCGATTTCCCAGAACACAGCCAAAACCCACTGAGTAAGGATACTCAGGATAGATCCCTTCAGGCCCAGCTGCAAAGGTCACAGGTTCAGTTCCCAGGCCGACGTGAACATATGGGTGTGGGTGCGTGACCCGTTGTCCTGGTTAACTGAAGGCTGGGATGGGGCATCAAGGCAAGGCAAAGCCCTGTCAAGGATATCTCTCCCCACCCCACCCCACCCCGGCCTCTCTTTCC